CCTCCCACTAAGCTCTCCTGGCTCAGGGCAGCCTTCTGCTCTCGGTTACCCATGTGTGAATATGGTGACCCCACAGGACTCACAGTTTGCCCCCAGCAGGGTAATTTTCAGAGATTGCCCCTTTGATCGTATGGTTGTGCCCCTTAGAAAAGTGGAGTGGATGCTGCTTTCAGTCACAGAGGCGTTTTCATGTTTGGCGCTATGAGGTTCTGCCTGTGCTTTGCAGCAATAGAAATTTGCATCAGCTCTGAATGTGCAAACACAGAGACACTACAAAATCAGGAGCTAGATACCACAGAACAGGAATAGATCTTACAAAATCATGAAAGTAACATAAAAATGGGTGAAGATTTCAAAACTCCACAGACTTTTGGGGTCTATTCATTGTTTAGATTTTGAGGAATCTAATGCCTCCAATCAGAAGGGCTAAATATTGACATTAAAAAAAAAAATCAAACCAAAGATTCTCAGCTATCCTTCAGGAGCCCAAACACCAAGGAGTAAGGGACAGCACCACAAGCATTTTCTGAAGGCATAGCCTGTTATATTTCAAAACATATCCACAGGATAATGCGGCATCTGATTAAGTAGCACGTGCCTTTGAATGGCATTCTCTCGTTCATCTTTCCCTTGGGATCTCACTCTTCCCATCTAATCCACAGTAATATGAGAAGGCAAAAAATGTCAAAATGGTATATAATTTAGACTTCAATTTATAGACTTGAAGATGTGTAATTGTACTGAGGCAGGCACCATAAATTCTAGAAATTCAGAGCTCATGGTTTGCAGGGAAGCAATCAAATGTGTTATGACTTGAGAGTGTTCAGGAAAAGCTCCCAAAAAACTCAAGGCTTTTCTGAAGTAATGGCAGGTGTTGCCCACACAAAGATGAACGTGGCATTTTCCTGTGATCCTAGCTGGCTTTACAGAACAATTCTACCTTTTTATCTTCACAGTGCCATTACTCTTACATTATGTTTGCTTGCCTGGGAGTTTTCTGGGTTTTGGTTAATATATTATTTTAATAATCATACAAAAACACAAAACAGGAAATGCAAAGAGCACAACTCGTGATACTTCTAATAATTCAAAGATAACCCAGATTAGCTCTCCTGCTTACTTTATTGAGCCTTTACAGAGGAGTTCCTGGAACTCCAGAGAAACCTCAGCAGCTGGAGCACAGTGGTGAAACTGGCCCTGCCATTGCAACCGACCTGATTATCCAGCACAGCCATCCCCAACCTACTGCGGCCCCCAGGCAGCAACACTGAGCCAGTAGCATACTGAAGGCAACACTGTATTTACTTTTCTTTTCAAACTGAAGAAAACCTGTGTCTGTGGAAGGCAAAACAGGAACAACAAGCAACTTCACAGGGTCTCATTACCACAATGCGGGCAGCTTCTTCCCATTTAGAGAAGGGTAGGGAAGGATCAAAAGGACTTTGAGGGCCCTACCAGATGTGCTGCCACTTGGTGGTGAAACAAGACAGCTGTGCCAGATGGCTGTGTGAGGGACTGGGCATAAGCACCGAATTGCAGGAAGGATTGGCTGGGCTGTAATGGGTTGTGGGTCCCTTTCTCAGTAATGGTGGTGAGGCACTGGCAGCTCTTAGCAGACCATTGCTGACCAGGCTTGCTGGGTAAGTAGGAGGAGAGGATGTCTCTACCTGCAGCTTTCTGGAACTGGGAAGAAGCAACCCATCCTGGCACTACTTGGAATTGTGTGTGGCCCTTATTGGGAATGGCTCGTGTTGCTATAGCTTT